TTTGATTTGAAGATTTAAAATCAAATAATCAAATCAAATTCAAATTCAGATTTTTTAAATCAAATCAAATTCAAATTCAGATTTTTAAATCAAATCAAATTCAAATAAATCTAATATTTGATTTGATTTGATTTTGAGAAACACTAACAGGCATTATGTAGTATACTATATAGATTAGCCTCTACAAAGATATAGCTATGACCGATTTAAATAATAAAGGAAGGATCACTGAAACAAACAAAAATACCTCTAGTTAAATAAAAAAAAAAAAATATAAATAGCTATTATATTTATAGTTTCAATAAAAATTAAATAAAATATTTAAATATTTGTCAAATAAATCAAATATTTTGTTAATTTGAATTTGATTTGATTTGAAATTTCTGTATTTGAATTTGATTTGACATCAAATATTTGATCAAATCAAATCAAATCAAATTGTAAAACCCTAATAATTATATTATATAAAAAACTAGGTGATATAATGTTATCTGTTATAGTAGCACAAATATAATTTTAAAATCTTTAAATTAAATAAAGTTTCAACTACAGTATAATATTTATACAAAAAAAAACACTTGTAATTATCAAATGACTGACTCTGGGACCCTTGGAAATGGTCAATTGACAATCCCGGAGGCTATATTGAGCTCTTAAATGTCAGCTCCATAGTATATATAATATATATATGTTAAATATTTAAGAGCTAAAAGGTTAATAAAATTAATTTTTAACTTGCCCCTTATACATAAGCATACCAGTCACATGAAGCGCATGTACAAAAATTTCCATACGTAGAGCAGGTTGGTTAGTAAAAAATATTCAAGTGCTAATGGTAGATTCTAAATGATGGAAGAAATTTGCGCAAAAATGGACAAAATCTTATTAGAATATTTAAGCTTAATTTCAGCATTACAAGAACAATGGAAACAGATCAGTACAAATTTAGGGAGTGTAAGTAAAGGCTTACGAAATAATTGCGTAGACTTCCGTATATTATCAAACTTACGAGAACAAGCTTTTTAGGGTTTTTTTCAACTAGCTCATGCAAGATATACAATGGGTCCTCATAGGTTAAATCAAAACCAGTATGATGGAAGGATGCAAGCTATTACTCGAGTGTTAGTTTTTTGCTCTGTTTGTTATATAAATTGCTGACTTAAGCAAAGAGTTGATCCGTATGTCACGACAGGTTGATATCTCAGAAAAAAGATACCGACATACTTAATACTCAAAGCGAATTTATTTGTCATTATACTTTGACCACTCTCGAAGAAATTACGGATGATCCTAAGGATAATGATTCTTCATCTCTTCGCCGACGTATGATAAAGGACCCTGAAAATGATATAGCAAAAAAACAATCAAAAAGCCGAGTTATTGAAGATCCATTGCGCTGGTTTGGTATTTTAGTTCCATCAACCTTAAGAGAGTCGCAAAGGCACTTCAAACAAAGTAAATCTTTAATAATTAATGTTACATTATTTGATCTGGACCATTATCACTTATTTTGGAATTAATTTAGGTCTTTCAGGTATGGTTAATATAATAAACCTTCGTAATGAAATTATCAATAAGGAAGCAGAATACAAGTTGTTAAAAAAAGAGAAAGAAAAGTTTATGGAGGAGAACCGAGCGAAACATGCCAATTCAATGAAAGACATTTAAGGTATGATTCCTTCGCCCTTAAGTGTTATATAAATGTCATTGATAATTATATTATAGAAAATTGTAAATTTATAAAAATCTAAATATCAGTTATTTTTGTTAGGTCTTATTTACACATCATTCTTATCTGATAAAAAAATTTTATGGTATAAAAAAGAAAGCGATAATAGAAAAAATTTTATTCTTACAAGTGAAAAAAAAAAAATCGAATCTGAGGAATAAAAAATGTTAACTGTATGTAATGAATACCGAGATTTTCGGTACCATAAAATTGAATCCTTGTTCACCAAATTTAAGTACCGGTGTTATTTACATTATAAAAGGAATGAAAAATTTTGTGTAGCAAGAAAGTTAATAGTTTCCAGCCACAATAAAAATAATCTACCTCAGGTTGTTATCCAAAAGAAAAAATGAATGATCATTACAAAATGATATTCTTAAAAGATAGTCCATCATCACAGCCATATCCAAACATCTACAGGATATTTACATCACCCTAATCTCTGACATTGTCCAAAAATGTTTGTAACGCTCTATTGTATTGCATGACTATTTCTTAGAACCTAATTGGGTGTTAAGTCTCCGTTGCGAACTGTTGCTATTGCCACCATTTGATAAGCCACCAAATTGAGGCGGTGGTTGTATTGGTTGTGGAGGCTTTACACGAAATTCGGCCAGGATTACAATATGACTGAAAAATAAATAAATACATTAACATAAAAATTACCACTAGACAACCTGGAAAAAAAAAAAAAAAAAATCTAATGCTTTATCTTAAGTTTACTCACTCGGAAGGGAAATGTGCATTCGGAAATCCAACCATTTTTGACATGTATTCTTTGTCCACACCGCCCAAAAGACCAGTAACACATAATGTATTAGTAGAATACCAAATGTAATCAATGACCCCAGTAAACCTAGGTGTGAAATTGGTAAATGGCAACTCCTCGAGATTGGAATATGCAGATTTTAGTGAAAGCCTATGTGACAAACCCTCCGATACATATGAACCATAAATATGATCACCAAAATCACAATGATCTTGTTTTATGGTACCACGCGAAAGAAATTCGTACACTCCAGAATCAGGAGTAGAATTGAAATCCCCACAAATTATGGTTGATATCTTTTGTGGGGAGCTGTAATTATAAATTGATTTACTAGGTATATCACACCATTTTTGAGCAAGTTTGTCTAGTTCATCCATTAGCATTGCAACTTGAACAAGCTTGACATCTGCGTATGAGGGGTCCCAATGAATATGACAGTTTACAATAATAAGACGTGAAAAATTTTCCTTGTTCTCGAGTAATGTTACAACTGCAATATTGTCTTTGGTAATAACACGATTGAACATATCTTCTGTTTTTTTTATGTCGGGCCTCTGCAACGCAACTTGATTAAACTCAATCAATTGTTTATCGATTAATTTATATCTGCAACGATAATTTATCATGGCTCGATTAGCACGAATTTTTTTAAATTTGTTAGTGACAAAAAAAAAAAAAACAAACAAACAAAAAGACAAGTTTTGAAATAATAAAATACTTTGAAGACTTAAAAAATGTTGCGCATCCATCGACCGATTTCCTTTCTACATCAGTCATTGTCTTTGCACGTGATTTTGGCCAATACACGCTATCATAATCAGCATGCTTACTATATACATCCTTGAAGAATTCTTCATATTGTGAAGTATCAACCTCCTATAAGAAGTGGTGTGAGAATAATATGAGAAAAGGCAAAAAAAAAAAAAAGAGAATAAATGAACAGCATGAACGCTATACTAACTTACCTGAAGGCACACAATGTCCGCATTATACCTCAACACTTCGCGTCTGATCCGATCTTTCCGATAATCCCATGAAAGGGCCCACGAAGGAGTATATCCATATAGTTGAGTAGTGGCGTATTTTTCACACAGGATATTATAGCAAAGGAGCGTAAAAGTATCTGCTTGACATAGAAAAACAAATCAATCCAATAAAAACACTATAATGAGAATAGAGTACGGTATACCATTTAGGGCTTTGGTCACCATTTCTTTGCCATGGTGGACAACCAATGTCCGGTTACTGGGGACATACCACGATCTCCACCAGCGGGTTCATTCTCTAATGTTATCCAATCCCTTTCCATTGGAGGCGGTGGTACTGATAACATTAAATAAAGGTTTAGTAACTATGTATGCTATGAATATATATAATAAAAAAATAAATAAATCAATAATTTGAATTATATTAAAATATATACCTTGACAATTCTCCCGCAAAAATGATACAACAGCCGCTGTACCTTCTTTTTGTAGCAAAGATTTTATTGTTTCATTTATCGGGTTTCCTTCCAACCCGAGTGTCTCCAATTGATAGAGTGTACCCAATTCAAAAGGCAAAGTCACGATCATGTTATCAAACAGTAGAAGATCTCTTAAATTCGTCAGCATGCCTAACTCAGGCGGTATAACTGACAATTTATTACCAGAGATATCTAACAAGAAAAGATGTCTTAGCTTGGATATTTCCGGAGAAATGTATGTCAAGTTGTTATGATTTATATAGAGAGTGGTGAGAAAGCCGTATTGGAATAGTTCTTTACTAATATTTTTGAGGCCCATACCACCCAGATCAATAGTCATCCATTGCTGAAAAGGTGGATCGTGCTTATCTCCATTTGTCTCTTTTTTTGAAAGAACGCCATTTAATGGTGGTTTATTCGGATTGTTTGGATCTGTTATTGCGATTGCTGAGCTACCAATGCTACTGTTACGAGCAGCAGCGGCAGCCTGTCGTGCGTGGTGGTGAGGTGTAGCTGATTGACGAGATAACTGTGCATAATTTAGCTGTTGTTGCCAATGTGTCGTATTGACGGTACCTAAGCTATTTGT